CGACAAAAGGCGGTAGAGTATAATAAAACCCACTCTCCTCATTGTTTCCGATTTACTTTTCCCTTCAACAATTAGGTTTCCTTTTTCTTTTTTGTTTTGAGGAAAACAATTTTGGTAGGTTTCCTAAAACTAAAACACTTTTTTTTTTTTTTTTTAAATTCAAAGTTTTCTTTTTCAAGAAGTAAGGACCCAACTTTTATTATTTGGTTGGAACCACATGAAATGTACTATCAAAATTCGTTATATTTTATATACCAATATTATTAGTGAAAATAAAAATTAATTTCAAGAACCTCGGATGCACTTGATAATTGAAATTATAATCACGTGAATTATCAGTCGTTTAGATTATGACGTTTTGATAGTCCACAATTAAAGTACGAAGGTTTATTTGGTTTAGAAATTTATTTTGAGATTGTTTTTTTTTTGGGGGCAATATTCGATGGCAACTAAATATTAATTCCATCAACTTCTTTGTTTCCATCAAATCCAAACACGATTGACATGATATTGTTTATGCGCGTGATCTGAAGCGCGTAGGAGACATACATATAGCTCCCTCCTTTTTTCTTCTTTTTTTTTTGGTGATGGGAAGTATCATTGAAGGCCCGTTACCTAAAACGCTGCTTTAATTCGCGAAGACGGGCGTGCTGACGTGGGTTCGAAACCACCGCTGGCATGATTATCCACGGCCTTAGTTCTTGCGCCTTATTTTTGGAGGGAACTACCACAATGCCCCTATCAAATATGATTTTTCTTTTTCTTTTAATTCCCGTACTAGTAATATTGCAAAATAAAAACGTTTTTCCAGTCGAAATAAGAAGCCTCAATCCTTGTAAATTAGGAATTGGGAAATGTTAGTCAAAACCAAGGTCTTAAATATCGATAGTTTTGGAAATATCAGTGGTTCAAAAATACGGAAATATCGATGGAAATATCGGGAAAATATCGATATCGATAAAAATTAGATAAAAACCACGGAAATTGTGATAAATACATGAAATTTTTTAATGAAACTTTAGAAGAAGTTTATTTAATCAATCATCTATTATTTTGACACAAACAATTGGAAGGAAATGCATTGCATAGTGAGTTTGAGTGATTTAAGTTGATTATATTGATAGCTGACAAACTCTATGACCTATAAAATATGGAGTAATTAATGAAGAAAATTAAACACCCCATAGTAATTTATTTATTATTTTTTAGTACAATATTTTACACTTTATAAATTGCATGGTAAGATACATGTGTAACCTTATTTCACATTATTCATTAGACATGGTACACGTTCTTATATTTATTATTTATCAAAAACTGAAAAATAATTAAACCAACTTGACTTTTCATGAAAATTAGGCACTTTACCATACTTAAAAAATAATAGTGAAGATTGAAAATTAACTAAGAACATAAATAAATTTATCGAATGAAGAATTAAGTAGTAAACAAAGAAAATAATTATAGAGGTTTAAGTAATTAAGCAACAATTTGAAGGGGAATTTAGTAATGTAAGTACTTATAATGAATAATAAAATAATCAATAACATTAAATGGATTAAATAGAAAAGAAATAAATTATATTAAGTAATTAAGTAACTGATCAACAATATAAAACAATAAGTAATTATGTTAATTTCTATTTTGAGAAACAGCTCGCATGTATTATAAATACATATTCTATAGCTTATTATCATAAAGTGAATGCCAGCGTGATGGTTAAGTGGTTACAAAAATTCCAACTTGGGAGAGGTTTGAACCCCACAATGCGCTGAGTTTAAATTGTTTAATTTTTGACACAGTTCAAGTCGCGATATTATGACCATTTAAACTGCGAATTGGACGAAAATATCCTCGAAATTATCGAGGAAAATATCGATAAAATGACGATATATACTTGGAAGTGTGCTAAAATTTTGGAGCCCAAAAAAACGATATTTTCGCTGATATTTCGGCGAAAATATCGAAATTTTGTACTATGGTCAAAACAGATGACACGTAGCTAGAGCCCAACGGTGACACTTGTACCAATAACAAGACCCCAATTC